AAGAAAAATAAAAACTCAATACGTTCTAAATTAAAAATGTTAAAATATTTAATAATAATTATATAATAAATTTAATAAAATTAATATCTATATCATGCCCCACATATTATGTAATTATTGTCGAATATGCTGAGACTTTTAATTACACCTTTTCCCTCTTCTCTTTGTACTAACTTACTTCATTTTTTGGGTTTTAATCAGATGAAAATTTTCTAAGCGATGGCAGCCTTGAAACCCCATTGGATTGGGTAGCCGGCATGAGTAATATAAGGCTAAGGGACCTTCCTAGCTTTGTCAGAACCACCGATGTAAACGAGATTATGTTTGATTTCTTGGGATCGGAAGCCCGGAACTGCTTGAAATCACCCGTGATTGCTTTCAACACATTCGATGACTTCGAATACGAAGTCTTGGAGGTAATAGCTGCCAAATTCTCTCGACTTTATACCATAGGCCCGCTTCCCCTGCTCGCCAGGCACTTCTCTGAAACCCAAGACATGTCTCTCAATCCTAGCTTGTGGAAGGAAGACTCAGATTGCATCAACTGGCTTGACGGAAAGGAGGAGAAATCTGTCGTCTATGTCAATTACGGTAGCATAACGGTGATGAGCGAGCAACATTTCAAGGAGTTTGCATGGGGTCTTGCTAACAGTAACCACCCATTTCTATGGATCGTTCGGACTGATATCGTGACAGGATCAGATTCAGTGGCACTGCCTGAGGAATTCTACAATGAGATTAAGGACAGAGGTATGATAACAACTTGGTGCCCACAAGCTCAAGTGCTATGTCACCCGGCAGTAGGAGTTTTTCTAACACATTGTGGATGGAATTCTACACTGGAGACGATTTGTGCTGGTGTGCCTGTGATTTGCTGGCCGTTCTTCGGTGAGCAACCGACAAATTGCCGGTACGCTTGCACCACATGGGGTATCGGCATGGAGATTAAGCCTGACGTGAAACGGAGTAACGTTGAGGCTCTTGTGAAGGAGATGATGGAAGGTGAAGGAGGAAAGCGAAGGAGGGAAAAGGCTTTGGAATGGAAGAAGAAAGCAGAAGCGGCTACCGATGTTGGAGGATTGTCTTATGTGAATTTTGATCAATGTATTGCAGAAGTTCTCCTCAAGAAGGAATGAAGAATGATTGGCTCAAGCACTGTTGTTTCATCTTCCAATGGAATTTTCTTGCCGTGGTTCATTGCGATGGCATAATTTGTAAGCAGACACCTTGCATCAAAACTTGATAATCCATGAATTTTCTTCTCCAAAAATGATCAATACCTGATACATTCATAATCAACATAAGAGACTTCTTCTGAAGTGCATGTTTTATATTCATCACAAGCTGAAAAAAACTGACTAGCAATTTAGTTCAATCCCAAAGAATAATAAACAAAATAAGGCATTAAAGTTGAAGACTCAATAAAAAGAGACCTATCTATCTTCAATCTCCATTCTTTGTTTTGCCTCCTCGTTTCTGCTAAGATTTCGTTTTAAGGAACAAAATTATCATATTATAAAATTACCTTTTACCTTCTACAGATTCCCACTTTTCTTTTTAGCAGTTTCATTGCTTGAGAACTGATAAAATTCTATGCAGGCCCTGTAATTTCCACGTTTCAAACACTAGCTAGTATCTTATCTCCTAGTGCATTTTCCATGGCAGATGAAACCTAACTGATGGGCAGAAACATGCCCCAGCAACTATCTCCTACTGCTTGCTGTCTTGCCCTTGCTTAAATCAGCAAGCTCCTCAATGAGCTTCCTCTCTTCACTGCTCAATCTCTTTGGAATTTCAACTTGTACACGGACCAACTGGTCGCCCCTCATGTTGCTTTTATTTAGTAAAGGAACCCCTTTCTTAGCCATTACAAGTGTTGTATTTGGCTGGGTTCCTGCTGGGATCTTCAAATCAACCATCCCATCCACTGTTGGAACCTTTATTGTTGTCCCCAATATTGCATCTATGTATGACACTTTGCAGGTATATAATATGTTGGTATCATCACGTTTTAGGACAGGGTCTGGGATAACTTCAATAATAACAAAAAGATCACCAGGGGACCCACCTCTCCTTCCAGCATTACCTTCAGAGCGAACCCTTAAACGGCTGCCTGAGTCCACCCCAGCCGGAACTTTCAAACTGATCCGCTTTGTTTTCCTCACCCGTCCATCCCCAGAGCATGTATTACAAGGGGTTGAAATTTCCCCAGTACCACCACACGAGGAGCAAGTCATTACTTGCTGGAAGACACCCAAGGGAGTCCTTGCTGATGAGACTACCTGACCTTGCCCGCCACATGTACTACACTTGGTTGGTTCAGTGCCTGGTTTTGCACCTGAGCCATTACAAGTTCCACAACTCTCAAGTCGGGATATCTCAATCTCTTTCTCAACTCCAAAAACTGCTTCCTTAAAATTCAAGACAAGATTGTAATATTCATCTTGACCATCAACTGCTCTATTCCTGGAACTTCGGCCACCCATGCCCATGCCGCCCATGCCACCCATGCCCTCAAACAGTGACTCAAACAGATCAAAAGGATTGCTGAAATCCTGGCACAGTAGAAGAGCCAAAAATGACAAGTTGAGGTTTCTAAAAGACTAAAAGACTCAAAGAACAGTAGTTCTAAACTGAGGAATCATATATGGGCAAGAAAACTGAATGATCATATTTTTACAAGTATAACTTACCCCCATGCCCATACCGGCACCCTTAAGTCCAGCTTCGCCATACCTGTCGTATAGAGATCGTTTCTCATCATCTGATAATACCTGCCGAACATATTATGCCCCAATGACTAAAAGTAAATAAAACTATATGCACAATAATAGAAATTGCCACAGGACAATCACAGAGCAGAACTCTTACCTCATATGCATTGCTAATTTCCTTGAACTTTTGCTCTGCTCCGGGCTCCCTGCAAAACAAAATAGATGATTAGAAAGAAAGGAAATGAAAATACGCAATATAACTAAAGCGAGATCTGGACCAGTGAAGATAATGTAACTAGCATAACAGGAGATAGATGCTATTCCAAACACATTGAGAAGAGAAAGATCTGAGACCGGAACCTATAGTTATCTATATTCTCTCCCCACAGCAGAAAAATATTAAGACATATTTGACTACAAACTCAACTGAGCACCTGCATCCTCGATCTTCTAATTATTGAAGTACTCAGCCAAAAAAAAAAAAAAAGAAGCAAAAAAAGGAAACAACTACAGGAAGCTCCTACTCAGGATATTGGAAACATTCACTTGATTTTAAGCCCTATTTAGTATTTCAGTTTCGTAGAAACTTGTCTGACTCCTTAGGAGGGAATCCTTAATACTCAAAATGAGACCAAAGCTACAGGGAACCTATGGAAACCACAAGACGTATATATTATCTTGCCATAAGAAGGAAGCCATTCTTCTTATTTTAACCTGCCAATAGAAGAGAAGTCATTTACCTGTCCTTCGTCGTTATCCAAAAATTCAAAATCCTCATTTATAGGAAACAGCTCATAATTTGACTACCCAAAAAAATGCTAGACGAAGCAAAGAAAGAAAATAACCAGTATTCCTTGGACCAACCATAGTCCCTAGGCTGAGTCACTTCTAAAGAGGGCCTTTATAGCAAGTTGTAGTCTTGTAGACAATAATTTCTTAAACTAACCTCAAACATCTTAGATGACCACAAGTAAAAATTTCAATACTTCTGAAGTTAGGTTTCACATTTGCTTTAAATAAATGAATAACAGATATTTCTGATTGCACACTGTTTCTAATTTGTTCCTCTTAACATGATTTACAATTCTAGAACTCTTAAAATTCCCAACTCAATCCTGGAAAGAGCACCATGTATCAAACAATCCAGATGATTGCACATTGCTAGTCCAACTCCAATCATCTCACTTATCGCATCTAGCAACAAGGGTATTCATACCTTGGTTTGAGGGAATGCAGACAGGGATTTGGTGTTAGTTGTAGGTGGGTTCCTACATTAGAGATGCAAAATGGAGATCTTAAGGCTAAAAAAAAAAATGCAACTTAATTATTATTCCCCATAGCAAATACATTTTTTTCCTAATGGGAAACAATTTGAGGCACAATAGATCACAATGATAACACAATTATGACAGCCAACTAAGCTAAAAGGAAAAAAGGGGCAAGATTTAGGAGAAAAATATATAGAAGAACTAACTTGTTCACATCTGGATGATAATTCCGAGCAAGCTTCCGATAAGCTGGGAAAAGAGAAGGTTTAAATAGTGAGAAAAATTAAGAAGTTGTTATGATACACTGTGCCAATCGAAAGAATTCAATTTACATTTCTGATACCTACAATAAAAAGAGAATATCTGATAGCCATTGATGCTTACAATTTAAATCATAATCAACAACTTAATAGAATGCAATTGTGTTTCCATTCATTCATTTTAAATCTCCATTAAAAATGATTAGAAAGAAAAACAATCATCTTGTCTTTCAAACAGCTTTCATTTAAGTCCCGAGCTAGTACCACTAAAATCTCTGTTTCAAGAATACATCTTTTGATCTAGAAAACTAACAAGCATTCGGTTAAGGATAGGCAACACATTCACTAAATTAGTATCCAATATCATTGAAAGCTATTTTGAGTGGCTGACAATATTTAAGAAACACAAAGCATGTAGTGCAGCCCACAGCACCCTTATGTCTGTTTAACCTTCATTTCAATGCACAGTAATGCATCCATTTAAACATTAAAATTACCACCTCAGGGGGCACCTGTTTCCAACTCCCATGCCTGCTTAATATTGTAAAATATTAATGCATCTACATTACAGTAGCATCTAATGATTATTCATGCACTGCCAGTCATCCCCTCTCCTCACTTTTTACATAATCCTCAGGCAGTTTAAAAATAAAAAGTCTCCATGAGAGTATGTTAGAAATTAGAACACTCTATGCAGGAAAGCTTTGCTAAGATGATATTATCCTATTGGCAGCCAAACCATATTACCATAACCATAAAGAAAAGATATACTAACAATTCAACAAACAGAATATACTTAGGAAGTGAACGAAAAAATAAGGAATAAATAAAATAGCCCACCACACAAGTATGTTCACATACCACTTTTAATTTCAGATTTACTTGAATTTTTGGACACCCCAAGCACAGCATAGAAATCCTGCTCATTAGAAAACATGATTACATTCAGTAGAGAATGAAACTGTAAATGAGCACATGAATTACAAAACAGTTCAGCATTGCCCTGTAAATCTAAATAATATCAGACAAGACAACCATTATAGCATCCATTTTCATCAAATGAGAGAGTGGAAACCAAATGGTTATACTCACAGCATCAGCTCTAACGGTGAACCGCGATGCCCTATGTCGATTTGATGTTTGAGATAACCCCGCATAGGACAACAAAGGTAAGGAATTGCGTGAAAATAAGCTTGAACTCAGTGGTCCCAAAAAGCTTATTCTACTTGTGACACTGAAAAAAGAAATATGAATGCTTCCATAGATGCTAAATTCAACAATCAAAAATAGCATATAATCGAGGTTGTCACTGTCAACCTTAAGAGATGGTAGAAATTTAAGTTAAAAGTTGAAAATTTCAATGGTACTTAAATTATAAACAGAATTTTTGTGATGTTTTGGGCAATTTTTTGCTTACAAAAGAGTGTGTTTATCAATGATCATTATCACCTTTTAAAATTGCACGCAGTTTTCATGTTCCCATTGGGGCTTGCTTTCAAAGAATATTTTTTATGAACTAAAACTGATTCATGTTTGCTCAAAGAAGTTATGAAGGTTCAGAGTATCCTCAGCTAGCTAAACTAAAGTTGCTCAATAAGGATGCTGGTCAGTACAATTCCATGAAGATAGAAATAATGACAATTGTCTAAACTCTAGAAATAAATACATGAAACCAAACCAGCAAAGCCAGCACTTTCACTTCTACACCTAAAAATAGTCCCAAAAAAAAAAAAAAAAAAACTTCTACAATTGAAAGAATTAATTAGGAACTTACCCAGATTGAGCTGTTGTCAGTCGGTTTCGGACATAAGATCTTGGCATAAACTGAGGACGAAGACCCCATTGTGCAACCCATGTACTTCCACAAGATATAATGGCCATCCAATATAGCTTTGACAAGAGAAGAGAAGCCTATGAAAAAGTTTAAACTGGATGACCTTTTGAGGCTGGAAAACATAAAATGTAACTCACATGAAAAGCAAAATAGCAAAAGCAATAATATCAGCAGAATCTGGAAATAATTAGTTATGTCATCAATATGACAAAACCAATAAATTATCTGCTTGAAAACAAAAACCTTACAGGATATTAACAATAACAATGAAAAGTGATGCCAATAGATGCTAAGCATACCATCCTGATAATTATCCAAATTCAACTCAATCTAAACTGACTATAAAGAGAATACAAAATTTAAACCAATACAAAATTTAAACCAGTAGACTGTTTATTGTTGAAAGTCGTGCTTTTTTGTGATCTATCTGAAATACAAATTAAAAGTCCCTTCTTGGCAAATGGTGGGCACGTGGCTAAAAGGCACTATAATTGAATACAACGATGAGGACATAATTTTCATCATGCCATTGCCTACATTTACAGGGAATGCCTTCACTGTTCATAGAACAAACAAGAGTTAGCAGTGCAACACTCTACTTAATTTTTTCTTTCACCATTTCCAATCAAGTTCTTGAATCAACAAGCTTTCTTCACAACCAAACAACAATTTCCAGGTTGCAGTGTTAGTTGAATTTCACTGATACTTTACATCCATTGGAAACCAATGGCCCTTTTACCCGTTTTAGCAGACATCAATTTCATTTCTAATTTGTGCTTTAAAATTGTCTCCCTTCTACCCCTCCCCCTCCTCCTCCCCCTTAAGGACCCATTCCGTCAAACTATAGCTCTAAACAACTGACATGCACTGAACTCATTTTTCATTGGCATTAACGCATTCCTATTCTTTTAAAATCAGAAAACCCATTTCACAGATTTCATCCAAATAAAGCACCAATTCATCTCTCTCATACCTAAACCTCTCTCCAAGCATTCTCTACAAGCACTGAACTTTCATAGCAAAAACAAAATGAAAAACAAATTCATCCCCAAACAACACAGACCTTATTCAAAACGTTAACCAACGTCAGCCCAGACACTCCAACCACTGGTATTCCCTACCCAACGACAGAAAAACAAGCAAAAATACAGAGGTGCATAGAAACCACGACAATTTCAATAGGTTTTGCGACGTTTCCATAGGCTAAAGGATTGACATTCGATTTTATCAAATAAAATCAACTAAAAAAACGGAAAATTTGTCTGCAAAATTAACAAAAGTACTGAGAGACGAAGACGAACCTCTCTTTTTTGGTCTGTGTGTCGCAGGAGAAAGAGCAGAAAGCAGGTGGAGGATGAGGTTTAGAGCCCGACCTCTACAAATATAGAGTTATCTTTGTCTGCAAGTCCTACGCTGACTATGCATTTGCAACCTAGTTTCCAACCGTTGGATTAGAGAAAGTTTTGATCTTTTAGGTTTTTTGTTTTTGGGATAAAGCCATATTAGTCCCTCAAATTATTTTGTTTTTTCAGGCAGGGCCTAAACTTATTTCTGAGTCAATTAGTCACATATATTATACATGCACATAAGGGTTCGTCAGTTGGCTTAGTTAGTAAAGTTCATACATTTTAATGGTGAGGTTTTAGATTTGCATTTCATTGAAAGAAGTTTTTCATGGATATAGGTGACTCATAGTAAATTTTATTAAGTTTTTATTAAAAGTTTATTAATATGTTTTGACCTCATATTGAAATTTCATAAACTTTAATTTTTATTTTTTGTAAAAGTCACACTAGATCAACTAAAGCAAGTTACTGACTTAATGGGAAAGTCTTGTGACCTTACGTGACAGTCACGCAAAATCTTGTCCACAAACAAAACTTCTTTAGTAATCATACCTTAAAGTTAATTAGGAAGGGTTGGTTTATTAATTAAGAGATTCTCAACAGCTGTAGGCTAAGTAGCCTTTGATTTTAGGGCGTCTTTGGTTGGGAAGAAACTTTCTTTTATAATTTTCTTTTTTTATAAAGTTAATTACGTATTTTTATATCTTAATATTATAATAAAAGGGGATAAAAATGATATTTTTAGTTTTTATTTTCCCTAACACAATTTCTGATAAATAGTTTTTTTTTTTACGTAATTTTAAGAAAAAAAAGTTTCCCTTTAAGTTTCTCATGTGACTCACTTTAACAACTTTTCTATAAATTTTTCTTACATCAATTTCAAACTTTAATAAAATTTTATCATAAAACTTCTCAATTTTTTGTTCAATACTTTTCTAGTAAAAATTTTCTTGATAAAGTTGATCCTTAACCAAATAGGCTCTTATGCTATAAGAGTTTAAATAATTCAAAAATAAGTTTGAAGACTATATAAAAAAAATGTGATAACTAATTGATCAATAAAAATAAGTACAAGGCCTCTTCAGTTAGAGAGTCAATTTTATAAAAAAGAAAAATTATTGAAAAAGTAATTATGAATGTATTGTATAACAAATTAATAAATTTTGTAGTGAAGTTTTGTTAAAATTTTGTTAGATTGTTAATTTTTTATTTTTGGTAAGAAGTTAATATAGGAAAAGTTAATAGAAAAGTTATTAAATGGGTCATATGTATGGAGAGTTGGGAAAAATCTTTTTTCATTCAAAAAGTGTGTGGAAAAAAATTTATAGGTTAAAAATTGTGTTAAGGAAATTAAAAATTAAAAATATAACTTTTACTCTCATTTAGTCATAACATTAATATGTAAATAATCTTATAATAAAAAAAGTTTATAAAACTTTAAGAAAAAAAATTTCCTACCAACCAATCATCCTCTAAGGGATTAGCTAAGTGGCTTTTCCCTTGGTCAAGTGTAACTTAATTTTGTGTTCAAGTATTATTTTACAATTCAAAAAAATTATCTTTGTAGAGTCTTAATAATTGAAATAGTTTTGTTACTAATATAAAAAACTTTCACACTTTATAATAAAAAGTTTGAACTTATGCTTCCCTCTCTATTCCGCTTCCCCCATGAGTATAAACCATTTACTCTAGTGTATATAAAAAAACTCTACTTTTATTTTAATTTTTTTTTTCATAAAATTTATTTTTATTTTTCTATATATATTGCTCAAAAAAGATTTTTGTTTCTTAAAAGAAAAAAAAATTGTTTTACATAAATTTTAGCTTAATTGGTAAGGTTCAAATCCCTCAACTATTGATATTTTAAATTTGAATCTCACAATCAACTATAGACCATACTTAATCCACTGTATAAGTCCCTACTAAAGCTAGTGATGTGCTCTGACCTTGGAGTGGGTAACTTCTCTTAATCAAGATTTTGTACCTGAAAGTATATTACAATTGGGCTTGATTTGAGATAAGATTGCT